AACCATCACTAATTCTCTAAACTGTCTAGCCATTTTCTCTCTTCACAATGTTATTTTTCAGGATATCATCACCAAGAGAATGATTGGTGAGGGTTTCTTTTTGAATGGTCTCTACTACCTAGCTAAAGACACCAAGGACTCCAAGTTTTTTCAAGTCAGTTCAAGTGTTTCCCAAGATCAACAACTTTGGCATCAACATTTAGCACATCCTTTTGAGAAGGTGATGTCATTTTTGTTTCCAAAACTATGTAAAGGCAAGTTACACTGTGATATTTGTCATATGTCTAAGTTCTTTAGGTTGCCTTTTGATTCTTCCACTTCTAGAGCTAGTCATCCTTTCGAAATCAGTCATTCAGATATTTGGGGTCCAATATTAGAGTCTTTTGATGGATATAGGTATTTTGTAACCTTTGTTGATGATTTTACTAGGATGACTTGGTTGTATCTTTTGAAATTTAAGAATGAACTTCCCAATGTCTTTCAAGATTTTCATAAACTGGTTGGTACCCAATTTTCATAAAAAATCCATATATTAAGGTCTGACAATGGCACTGAGTAGATGTCTCATAACATGTCTCAATATCTAAGTATTCATGGCATTCTGCATCAAACAACATGCGTAGACACACCCCAACAAAATGGGGTTGCCGAGAGGAAAAATAAAGACCTTCTTGAGAAGACAAGATCAATCATGTTTCATATGAATGTACCAAAGAAATTTTGGTCACAAGGAGTACTTACTACTGCCTATCTTATCAATAGATTGCTTAGTAAAGTACTACATTTCAAGTCTCCATATGAAGTGTTGAAAGATAGAAAAATCGATCTCTCACACTTGAGGGTCTTTGGCTCCACTTGCTTTGTTCACAACCAATCCCCACATCGTGATAAGCTTGATCTGAAAGCAACCAAATGTGTCTTCCTAGGTTACTCAACCACTTAGAAAGGTTACAAGTCTTACAATCCAATTACAAGGAAGCTTGTGGTTTCAAGGGATGTAAAGTTTGATGAAAACATGCCCTAGTTCTCAAAGAAACTAAGTGATGCAAATTAGGAGGAGTTTCTGAGTGACATGTTTCCTTTTCCTAGTGTTCCTCATCACCAAGAAGCTCCTACATCAAGTGATACTTCTACCCTATCACCAGAGTTATCTTCTCCTCAAGCCATAGACATTGAACCTCAAGCCCTGATTCGTTGAAATCATTCTAGGGTTCGACAACTCCCACTTCAACTACATGATTATGTCACCTATATTTCTAGGTATTCTCTCACGGATTTTGTCTCTTATAAGTAGTTTTCACCCTCTCATGCCTCCTTCCTTAGTACCTTGGATATTTACTCATGAACCACAAACCTTTCAAGAGGCAAATGAACTTGAAATTTGGTGAACTGCTATGAGGGATGCACTGCAAGCTCTTTATGACAACAAAACCTGGAGTGTAGTCAAAACTCCCAAAGGGAAGAAAGCTGTGGGCAGTCGTTGGATGTACAAAACAAAGTTTAACTCATATAGGACTATTGAAAGGCACAAGGGTTGTTTGGTAGCTCATGGCTTGGACTACAAGGAAACCTTTGCTCCAGTAGCCAAAATGAACATTGTAAGGGTTTTATTGTCAGTTGTTGTAAATTAATCATGGCTCTCTATCAAATAGATGTGAAGAATGCCTTTTTGCATAGGGAATAAGATGAGGAAGTGTACATGAAACTACCACCAAGTCATCCTCAATCTGGTGATCCTGACATGGTTTGTAAACTACACAAATCCATTTATGGATTGAAGCAGTCTCCACGTGCATGGTATGCAAAACTAAGCTTCATTCTCAAAGAGTTTGGTTTTCAAATAAGTAGTGCAGATTCTTCACTATTTGTTCGTATTGGTTCAGTTGGGAAATTAATTGTCTTAATCTATGTGGATGATGTTATAGTTATAGGTAACAACATTAAAGAAATCCATTCTCTCAAGCTTGCTCTTCGAAGTAAATTTGCAATCAAAGATTTAGGGACTCTCAAATATTTCCTTGGCATTGAGCTTGCCACATCACAGCAAGGTCTCTTTCTCAATCAAAGGAAATATATCCTTGACCTTTTGAAGGAATCTGGCTTAATGGATTGCAAACCTGCATGCACTCCATTGGATAGTAAGCTACAACTCTCTACTCCTAGTGAAGCTATTTCTTATGTCACTAAGTATCAAAGGTTGGTAGGAAAACTCATTTATCTGACAATCACGCGTCCTGATATCTCCTATGTTGTGAGCATCGTGAGTCAATTCATGGATGCTCCCACTTTAGTTCATATACAAATTGTGAAGAGAATTCTTCGTTATCTCAAAAGGTCTATTGGTTGAGGGCTCTTAATGACAAAGAATGATAGCACTGCCATCATGGGTTACACAGATGCTGATTGGGCTGGCAATTCCTTGATCGCAAGTTAACCACCAGTTTTTGTATCTTCATTGGTGGCAATTTGGTAACATGAGAAAGAAACAAAATGTTGTAGCTCGATCCAGTGCAAAAGCTGAGTATTGAGCTATGGCTTCCACTGCATGTGAACTTATTTGGTTGAAAAGCCTTCTGCTTGATCTAAGGTTTCCCAGCAACAAACCTATGTCTATGTTTTGTGACAACCAAGCTGCCATGCATATTGATTCCAACCCTGTATTTCACAAGAGAACAAAACATATTAAAGTAGATTGCCACTATGTTCGAGCACAAGTTCAATCCAAAGTCATAAACACTCATTACACTCGTAGTCAGGATCAACTGGCTGACATTTTTACCAAGCCTCTCCCTACGGTTCAGTTTTTGTGCATTCTGTCCAAGCTTGGCTCAAGGGATCCCCTCGATCCAGCTTGAGGGGGAATGTTGGAAGGTTATAAGATTGGAGGTTATTGGAAGATGCATCTCTCGGTTGGAATGCTGAAAATCAATCATAGTCACACCTTTTTGGAGCTAGCTGTTTTATCCTTTGTTTAACTCTTAGCTAGGGCTAGGTACTTTATTCAAGAGATTGTTTAACTCTTAACTAGGGCTAGGTATTGTTTACTTTAGCCTACAATTAAGGGATCATGTTTCCTACTTATTGTAAAAGAGTTAGTAGTCTTCCAAGGAGTAAATTAGGGAGTAGATTGGGGGACTGATTGGAGGCTATTTCCTCCGGTCCTTTTCTCTATATATGTTACAATTTGTAAATGGTTCACACATGAAATATACATCAAAAATTCAAGAGAAGCACATTGTCCAAATGTGCTGCAGTAAGTAGGGGTGAGTATGATTCAATTTAGATTGATTTTAAGGAGCTTTCAAACGAACTACAATGCAGAGGAGATCAGTTGCCATGGCTTCCCCAACCACTAGGCCACACACCATGGTGGTTGTTGTACAGAGTTTTGTCTTCCCCAGTTTTGTTAACTCCTGGGTTGTTTTGTCAATCCCCTAGTTGTCTAAGGGCTTCCTATCAACCTTTTTGGGTCTGATATGTTTGATTTACTTTGTTTGACCCTTTGGCTGTGCATGTTGGCTATGGTGTCGAATTGGTAGATCTTTCAGGTTCAAAGACTAAGGAGGATGCAGATCTAAGATTTATTGTTACTTTGAGACCTTCTGGTGACTAGAAGAAGCTTTGACATTCTTAGGCGTCAAAATTAATTTCAAATCTTGTAATTGCCCATGTGGTTATCAATGAAATTGATTGTTGTTCTAAAAAAAATATAGTTACAACTCAAAGATAGTAGCTTTTTAAGTTCTGCCAAACTTTGGAAATATTTTTACTCATCACCTGATTGATTACCATTGAATTAATTTAATTTAATTTATCAACTACACAAATCTTAAAATTTAAAATAATTTAACGGTAATTAATAGGACATTAATCATGACGAGCAGAAAACACTCACAAACTTCAAATTTGAACCATTTGGAGATAATAAGGAAACAAATCTGCAATATTCTTTAACCAATTAATGCTTCTCATGGAAATTGAATGATATAAATATAAATTTACTAATTGAAGGAGCAATATAAATTTCTTCTTTTTTCTTCTTCTTTTTTATGTTAGATGCAGTTATGTTTGGGTCAGATTGTAGGGTTTCAACTTGGATTAGGCCAATGAATTTCCAGGTAGTCACATCTGTTTAATGTTCGTTAACAACTTACAAGACTCTGCATGTGAACTGTTGTTGATCCTAAACTTCATAAATCCAAAGTCAAATATATTGATTTGGATTAAAGCGGCTGGAGTATAAATCAACCTCTTGCCCTATGTAGTTGTTGCGAAGATAAATGCTCTCTACTACTAAAATTAGAAGTCTTCACTTAAATCGGTCATGTTAAGTTGTTAAAGTTTCGTGGCATTGCCTACTAATAATTTTGCATAAGTTATTTCTTATAAAATATTGCGTTCTAAAATATGTCAACTTTTTCACCATGACACAAACTTTGTCACTCGATTTATAACTAATTTTGGTACAAATTTACAAACGAGCACAAAAGTTCATCCGGCATTCGGACTACGTTCCATGCAGTAGAATATGTATGGAACATGACTCAATGAGCAAATTACATTTATCTAAAAAGTTAAAAAATAACTAACTTCTTCTCCTTTTTCTTCTTACTTTGTGAGCATCTGACCTGGTCTATTGGACACATGGAAGTCCCGCATCAAGTTTACCAGGTGTAATATTCCACCAAGCTGATTCCCAAATAGTAAAATGCATGCCATCCAAATCACTTTCCCAAAACTAAAACAGAACAGGTTAGTCCGGCCTTATTAAATTAACAAATTATGCACAACAGCACACCAAAGCAACTCTTTCATGGCACAGGAAGTTAATATATAAAATTTCATGTAACAGATGGAAAAAAAAAAACCTCGTGACAGTGCCAACTTAAAGCTTTTTCTAACAGTGCAGGAAATTACGGCATATAAATAGAAGTGTTTTCTAGAGGTGGCCAATTCATCAAGTACTCACTCGATCAAAACTAGCCCTCTTAGTTTTTGCAATGTCTAATTCCTTCTCACTTTCTTCTCCTAAACTTGTATTGTCCGTTGGACACACTACCATGCAAGAAGCAGGAGCAAATGATGGTACTCAAAAGCTCATCCCTAAGGCCGATAGTTCTACTTCAATCTTCCAAAAGGTACACATCATAACTTATTCATTTACATGATAAAAACTTTTATATATGTTCAACAACTATTGTTCATGAGATTTGTTTAAGACTAAATAGCCGTTGGAGACATGGCGGTAACTAATGTTGTGATCATCTACTCATCAAGAGTTTAATTTATTTATTCGCTTTTTTACTATATACATGGGATCGATGTCTTTGTTTATGTGAATAGATGATGGCAGAGCTTGTGGGCACATACATTCTTATATTTATAGGCTGTGGGGCTGCTCTTGTCAACAAAATACAACCTCTTACAATCGTGGGAATAGCAATCGTATGGGGTCTTGTTTTTATGGCCGCAGCATATGCAGTTGGGCATGTCTCTGGTGCACATTTCAATCCTGCAGTTACTATTGCCTTGGCTGCTGGCCGCATATTTCCAGTCAAACATGTGAGACACAATTGAACACCTTCCTATATTTGCTCCAAGGAAAGTTTGAGGGCTTCTTCATTGAAATAACTTCTTTACATAAAGTTATAAAAGTTTAATGACTGTATTCTCTTATAAAATTAGAAGACTAGCATATTTACAACTTAAAAAACTAAGATGGGGCAAGTGATGGGTTCAAAGATGGTTACAGCCTTTTCAACCCACTGCATCTCAAGTTCGAACATTTTTCATTCTCTTAGTATAGATTAATGTATAATATCACCTGTAATGATAAAAAAGACTAAGATGGAGTAAGGAGAGGTTCGATATGAGAGTTGAGTTCTCGTATCCTATCTTAACATATAGTTTCAAATTTTGGTTTTCAAGAGTCTTTTAGCTAACGAATTGGATTAGTTTTTATAATATAAATGATCCACCACAAAACATGGGTAGTGATTTTCACTTTCAGTTTAGCATGAGTATAAAAACAATGAAATTACCAATTTGGAGTGCAACAAAAGCTAAATTATGAGTGTCAAAGTCGCTTCCTGAAAGCATCAAGACAAAAACTCTACAAAGTGAGTATAAATTTTCAAGTGTCTTTAAAACATTTTCAATTATAACTTGCTAAAAATTGCTTCGTAAATGTTGTCGTGCTATAGGTACCTATGTATGTGATGTCACAATTGTCTGGTGCAACATTAGCAAGCCTGACCCTCAGGCTGTTATTTAACGACCAAGACAGTATTCAAGCAACCATGACTCAGTTCTCTGATCCAACAACTTACCTGCAAGCCCTCACTTGGGAATTCGTTATCACGTTTACACTGATGTTCACCATTTGTGGTGTTGTCACTGATGACAGAGCGGTACCATCCTCTACTTTTCTCAGTCTCTTTCTCGGTTCGGTTAGGGTTTTGGTACTATTTTATTAGCGGCTACATTGAAACTGAGTATGTGTAGTGCAGAAGGCTAAAAAAAGTGTTAAATTGTTTTTTCGTTGACAAAGCACTAACGCTATGCTTGACTGACAAAATTAGGGCAAAAATCTCTCTGGAATTGCAATAGGTGGTGCATTTGTGGTGAATGTCATGATTGCTGGGTAATAACTCCTCACTAGTAATCTAAAAATCCTGTTTATTACCATTTGCATTGTACGTACCGTCACTCTTAAACATGAAAAATACGCTTTTCTTATTTATTGGATTTTGCAGGCCAATCACTGGAGCTTCCATGAATCCTGCAAGGAGTTTGGGACCAGCTATCGTCACTGGAGTTTACAAGAACATTTGGGTTTATATTGCAGCCCCTATTCTTGGAGCCATTGCTGCTACTATAGTGTACAGTGTGCTCAGGGTACCTAAGCTGGTAAAATCTGATGAAAAGGCTGATCCAGTAAGATCACAAGTTTGAATTGTTCAATAGGACTAGAATTGGCTGTACACAAATTGTCACGAAAAGCACTTCGATCACTCCTGTCGTGCCAAGTAAAATAAACAATATAAAATTAACAATAAAATTATTTCTTATTTATCCCTCTTTCAACGAAAAACCAATTGTAGCATGTAGGGTTTTGTCATTTGCTTATAGAGAAAAATATTCATTAGAAATAGTAAAAAAGTATATACGACATACATATTAAACGTGTCTTTTAGAACAACTCAAGAGACTACAATGATGTAAGAACATCACAATTCACAACCCTACAATTACAAACACATCAAAAATACAATACGATTCTTCAAACATGGAGGAACCTTAGTCCTAAACCCTAGTCACGAGGACTAAAACATTGCAAGCCCGAGAACTATCATAGAGGCTCCACGAGAAAAAGACCATACAAATCTTGGATTATTTTGCAATCGTTGGCAAATAAGCTGTGCTATGTGTCCCCTCCAACAAACCACAAACATCACCATTTCAGATCTGAACAATAATCGCCACTCTATAATTCAAGATAGAACAAATTAATCACGACCATGACCACAACTAGAAAAGCTCTTATTGATCAAGCGAGAGAGCCACAACCACGAACTGAATACTCTCTTCACAAAACAAGAGAACGACTAGAACTAGAAACAAAAAGAAAATAAAAAAGAAAGATCAAGAAGAATTGCTGCCGATCCCAAAATCAAAACAATAGTCGGCAGCTAGAGATTCTTTTTCTTACTTTTCTGTAGCCGCAAAAGCCTTTTGTATAGTAATACTCCAATTAATTGTGCTCCAGTACAAGAATTGTAAATGGGGTGCAGCATCTAATCTAATTTATTAATAAAATTATCTCCTTCCTATAAAATAAAGAGACAACGATTTCAAAGCATCTTCTTCACCATATTATTCCGGGGAGCAAATTTTGTTGTGAATGCGTTGGCGGCAATGGGATATTCCTCCGAGATCGGATCCTTCTTTTTGGCTTAATATTTTGCCTAGTGAAGCCGAAGCGGTGTGGTTTTGGGAATTTCACTAATCTCAGCTGTTTTAGGAGCTTTTCGCTGTAATCTTTTATTTTCGTTTAAGGAAATTAAAAACTTAAGAGATAACATATAAGAAATTCATGGCCATTACCTTTTATTTCTCAAGAGTAATAAATAGGGTACTTTAGATATTGGTCCTAACAAATCATGATTTCTAAATATAAACTTACATATAATTAAACATCAAACAAAAACCCAAAAAATCAAATAAACTGTCACATAAGAATATAAATAACCTACTATTACAAATTATTTACAATATTTGCCACAACCCTTTTATGCTGTTTCTCACACTTGAATTTTAGCTTCAATCAAGGGCCTTAAAATCTGATTAATCATCCTAACGTTTTATTTATTTTTTTTTTAAATTTATACAACAATCTAGTGCATTACCTTAAATCACGACTACATTATTATTCAGGGTAAATTATTCTCATTATATAATAGTAAAACGTCTCTACTAATTTACCTATATAAATAATATTGCCCTATAGTAGGTAATTTACCTAAAGTATATACACAAAATATTCTCATATTTCTTTTGGCAATTTACCTATGATATATGCAAATAATATTCTCATACTTTGTTTGTATTTTACCTATAATGCAAGTAAGTAAATTATGGAAGTAGGTAAATTATGTACGTGATGCCAATTTACCTACATTTTTTATGTCAACCAAATACTCTAGACTGTATATGTAAATAGTTTACCTATAGTTGGTTCTTTTCTTGAACCAACAAATCCGTAAATGTTTGCCAATTCAAAATTGATTATCAAATTGATATTAACGGATCCAAACCAACAAATCCCTACATTTATATGTAAAATATTATTTTTGTAAAATCATTTATTTCCCTTTACAATTTGCATAGAATTAATTGTGTACATTAAATATATAAATAAGGGTATTTTAGGTATTCAAACAAATTTAAATAGGTAAAGTCAAATATAATTAATGAATTTACTTATGTAGAGTCTAGTCAATAAGTTTTATTTGAGCAAAAAATATATGCAGATTTTTTGTGAAGATAATTGAATTTTAGAAGTTAAAATCATATTTTCAGTAATAAATATGTTGTGTTGACTTCTGAATCTGACACTTTTCCTACTAAGAAAACTGAGAGAAAAAGGCACAGTAAAATATAATATTTTGGTCGGCTTTATGCCTAAAAGAATAGAGATTTTTTATAGGCTTTATATAATAACCACACGTCACTATATAAATGGTTAAATACTTTTGTCAAAATTAATAATTTAAAAGATCAAATTTTCCACCATTTATATAATATCATGTGATGTATCACCATGTTCCAGACACAATGAAAGATTAGAGATTTTTTATAGGCTTTATATAATAACCACACGTCATTATATAAATGGTTAAATACTTTTGTCAAAATTAACAATTTAAAAGATCAATTTTTCCACCGTTTATATAATATCATGTGATGTATCACCGTGTTCCAGACACAATGAAAAATTTCTCAAAAAAGACAACATATATAATCTCTATGTAAACACGAATTTCCTGCAACAAATAAGACAAGAACACACGTACAAAATAAATTTGTATTAATGAATTTGAAGGGTTACAATCTCTGTTTACAAGTTTTCTCTGATTAGATCTCTGAAAGATGTGTAGATGTGTAGGTTGTTGATCCAATGGTCGCAATGACTTAATCTCAGATGAATGGTTGCCGCGAGGTTTTGGCTCTTGGTGATTTGAAAGATCCACAATGGTAGTAGTGCTTGATGATTCTTTGAATGTTTGGTGAAGAACGCAGAGAGCTTTCTAAATTCTTCAAAGTGTTTTGAGGGTTTGGGTGCTTAAGCTTTGGCAGGGTCTGGGTGCTTGAATGATTTCTTAATCCTTTTCTTTGTCTTAGAGCCTCCTATTTATTTATAGACTCTCCAAGCCTTGACTACATATGGATTTGGCTTTGATTGTAGGCTTCATGAATTGACGTAAGAACCAGAACTCGATTTATGAGCCAGTTCATGATTTTATTCCATCAATCAACATTTGATTTAATTAAATGAAAATCAAATAATTCATTTTTACCAAGTGTTGACAAGTGTCCTTCTTGATGACTTGTTCAATTTTAATAAGTCACATCCACATGTACAATTTGTGAAACACATGGCGCATACCACGTATGCTATTATATGTCAAACCTTTAATGTAGTGGTGAACATTTATTTCGATGTTCACACTTTACTATGAGCATCTCATTATTTGTCCTTTTTATGAGTGAGGTATTGTCTTTTCTCCCCACCTTTTTAACATTTCAGTCCTAAGAACATGCAATAAAGCTAACATAAATTGTCTAAATATTATTTGTCCAACTCACAACCAATAAAATTATATCATTCTTACAAAGTCATAGATTATTTCGGTAGTTAGAGTCTTTTCTTCAACTAGAAATTAAAATTTGTGAAAGTTCTGCATGTGACAGTTGGTCCTTATATCATAAATTATACGTCGAATATGTTGATTTTGATTTAATGAGGGTTGAGTAAGAATTGAACTTTTGCCGTCGATGCCAAGGATTACGTGTTGCATCGCTGAAGATAAAAAGTTTTCACTTAAATCTGTCATATTGTTAAGTTTTATATTTAGTACTAAAGCATTTTCAAATATGAGACCATATTTTAGGATCTCCATCCCCGTCCTCTTGTCAGGGGACTTACAGAAATCTGTGTTCTTAGAGAAATATTACCTCCAGTAGGAGAGCCACATTCGAGAGTCCCCATCTTAAAATATTTGTGAAGATTTCCACCAAAAGAAGAATTCAAATTCCAGCATTAATTATTTTGCTTAATAGAAACGAGTACAATTTGTTCTTTATTTTTGGATAGACATATCCACACACTGCTTTGTACCTTCCACACACCTCTCAATTCCTCCCGTCGAATCGAATAAATTGAAGTTAATCAAACGATAGAAATTAATAACGCGTCTTGAAAGGTAAAAAGAAGTGTGGATAGCACCACCTTTTTTTTTTCCTTGTAGTTCATCTCCTTCACATATGAAAATAAGCAGATAACTGTGCTGCAAAATCCAAATTAACAGACCAGTAAAACTTCAAACCTACAAGAAGAGGTAAATGTGGATATATATAATATCTTACAAGCATCTGTTGCCAATAGAATGAGAGAGAACCCTGAGCTTGTTCAAAGACTACATATCTTATTTCACTTGTTTCCTTTATAAATACAACATTGCTTTACACCAGTGCTACATTATGGTGGAACCAAAAAAATAGGATAGCTAATAGTTGCCTGTATTAATTAGAAAATATCACACAGGAGAGCTGCTGTTGAGGGCACTCGTGGCGGAGAAAGGATCGGAAGTTCAATGTGGACGGCAAGTTCCCCTACCCGAATGCATTTGATGGCGTGCATCATTACGCCTCACAGCACTCTTTTCGTTTTCCTACTTGCATCTATATGTTTCACCTGTAAAAGAAACAATGAAGAAAAAAATGAGACTGCCTGTGTGTGAATGTAAAGATGAACTCTATCTCAAAAAAATTGGCATTCACTCATTGCTTTGTGATATATCATTTCAGAGCTTAGAAGCTTGAGAAATTTTAGTAATGCATACGAGACCAGAAGATCGATTCCATTTGTAGGTACGTCTCAAAGCTCTTAACTGCTAAGGCAAGATGCAGGTTCAAAATTGTTTGGTTGAACAAAGAACCCAACAAACTGTTTATTTCAGTCGTAGTCTCATTGTGGATATTGGTGAATCGTTCATGAATTTTTACCCAGTTTGAGATAGCCGCCTCCAATTCATTATTTGGTGAGACTGAGGATGTCTCTGCAAGTACGAACTTGTTCCAATGCTATTGTCTTCACTCCCAAACTGCTCTGAGTAGCTAGAACTTGAAGGAGACCAAACTGGAACTACACCTCCATCCCTCTCTCGCCTAGTGCTACTGGAAGATTCTGCAGTCGAATCTTCAACAGCATGTTGCATCCCTACTGCAGCATTGGGTGGCGGAAGAGCATTGTTATGAGTAGTCTGAAAAACCCCTTGGTTTAACATGTCTCTTCTTGGTTCCTGATTCACAATTAAATCTGTAGGCACTTCTGCTCTGGTTTCTTCTGTTAAATTTTGAAGTTCCAAAGAAGTTTCTTCCTCTTCAGCTCTAGCCAAAGAAGTAGTAATGCTTGGGACCATCTGATCCTCATACCTTCGAGTGCCAGGAGGGTTGTTCCTCGCTGGTTCATTATTTTCCTCCATTTGTATGTCTTGAGGAAAGGCAATTGGCACTGATTCAGAGGAGTCTCCAAGCCCTTCTTCAGTCCCATTTTCAACAGCAGCTCTTGAAGCAGCTTCGTGCTGCCACATCTCTGATAAAGCTTCTTGCAACCGGGTTTTTGCCGCATCTATTCCTACAATAGGGAGAGGGTAATTCGATCCTAATTCAATTCCAGCTGCTTGGAGTACAGATTCTGGTGCATTCCATGGGTGGTGTATCCATTCAGTTGGTAGCCTAGAAAGTTCAGGAAGCCACTTCCGCACATATTCTCCATTTGGATCAAACTTGTACCCCTCAAACTGTAGAAATCAAACAAATACAAGAATTTTCAGTACACAAACTTGATCAAATAAGAGTGGCAATATTGCATAAATCCTCTCAGAACAACAGGAGCAAGTCAATTTATATCAGTGAATGCTTCATACCAAGATATTGGTTAAGTGAACAAACAATAGTTAAACAAAAATTTTCAGTACTAGATTTTTGCAGTTTTCATGTATGATGGTCTGGTAGTGATGTGTGAAAACAACTCTGTGATTCCTCTTTTCTAATAGTTTATAGAGAGCAGGATGTCAAATTCCATAAAAAGAAAAAAGCAAAAAAAAAATACGTATTGATACTGTAGAGTATAGATTTCAAAGGAATCCAACTATTTTGAAAGCACTATTCGATAGAAGTGGTCCCTGAGATTGTCCACTGTCAATCATTTTGGTCCTTCCTTGAAAAATCACCATTAAATTGAGGGCCTTTTTTGTCAATCAACCCCACCAAAGAACTGGTGGTTTCTTCAATTTAATGGACATTTTTCACAGAATGACCAAAACGATTGATGGTGGACAATTTAAGTACCACTCCTATTGATTTTATTTTGAAAGCACTATGCCACTACCCATATAAACCTAGTAGTCACTACTGAGGTGGACTCTTTCAGGCTTTTCCTTTCATCATGTGAGAGTGGAACCAAGGCAAAACTATTTCCCCGAAACTTTGAAAAAAATGCAATCTTATGAACAGTCATGAGCACGGACAAACAACTGCACTAGAATTTCTATTCATTGCTGATGACCCTAGATGAAGACACTTAAATAAGCAATAACTGCAAAACATGAATAAAAACGCATCGAAAATTTTTTCCATCGTTGAAATTTAGAACAGGGTGCATGTTCGTTCAGAAGCACATGCTCAATATAATTCAGGATAATCAAGCTCAATATCCGTACCTGGGGATTATCTATGCGGTCAAATTCACGGCCATCAGGGATAGTACCAGATATATACTGCCAGCCAAGAGCATCACTTTCAAGGTCAGCATCTAAAAGTGTATCCCAGAAATACTTCATTCCCCACCTCCATGGAAGTTGCAGAACCTTTACGAAGAAACTAGAAACTACTACTCGTATTCGATCATGCAGCCAGCCAGTAGCCCACAACTCTCTCATGCCAGCATCCACCAATGGATAGCCAGTTCTACCTTGTCTCCATGCCTTAAAGTAGTTCTGATTTACAACCCAGGGAAAGAACTTTAGGTGCCCAAGAAGAGGTCTTTCATGACTGTAAGGATGATTGAAACTAATGTATCTTGAATATTCCCGAAGACCGATAGACTTCAGAAACAGGTTTACGCTCTCTTCACCAGCCTTGTTGCCTTCATTGGCCCAAAGAACCTGCTTCATGCGAGCAAGATGAAATGCTTTTCTCACACTCACCTCCCCAAAATGCAAATGGGGAGAAAGTAATGATGTTGTAGCACCATCAGCCTTTCTGCGGTTATAAGAGTAATCAAGTAAGGGTCCATTTATAAATGTGGTCAGAGCCTTATCAGCATTACTCCACCCAGGTGACCATGCTCGAGCAAGAAGTGCATTACTTCCCTTCTCGGATTCATCTTCAAAAACCAATGTATCAGAAGGGCACCTTGATACATCACCTGAAAAGTTCATGAATGTCTGAATGTGAATCTAACACATGAACTGAAAGGTGGTTATGAACTTGTGAAAGTAGAACTGGAAATACTTGTATAAAAAGTACGCACACTGAAGGAATCAGGAAACCTATAACACACAAAAAGCAAAAACAAAGGAAAGGAAAATAATCGCAACTTAAGCCGTCAGTGAACCCTGCATGTTCACCAGTAACATGGACATGACTCATGACAACTACTCCACCAATATCATGAGGCTTATAGAGGAAGCGACACAACTCCAGCATCAAAAGGGTTTATCATCTTAACTTAGGTGGAATACTCACACAGGGAGAACTTGAAGTGCTTAAAACATCTGCTATTTCCCACACATGAAGTGTACTGTGTGACACTGTCAACATTTTTCTGTTGATAGTCACCAAGTAGATCTTATTACTACTAAATCCATGGGTGAAAAATAGGAACCAGAAGAACCTTCTTCCATCCATGTTGTCGATTCTCTTCAGTTTGACTCATTTGGGAAAGAAAATCAGAACATTAAATGACCAACCACACCAATGAAAAATGTGGATCAGCCCTTCAATAATTTGAAGGAAAATAACAAAGACGGAACATGAGATCAAATAAAAGGCTAGCTGTATGCTGAATAAAGTTGAGGTTCAAGAAGAATATGAATGCATTCCAACCTGAAATAATTCTCTTAGGGGGGAGAAGTGGCGCATCCGGGTCATATGGCATGCTAAGACATCTTCCCCAGAAGGCATCAAAGGTTGTGAACGGGCGATCATGGACATCATTAACATCCCATGGTTCGTAGAGCAAATCCGCATTAAAGGAGCGCACAGCTATACCTTGAGCAGTCAGAACCTCCTTCGCCCGGTGATCCCTAACCAGTGATATAGGATCTGAAACACAAAGATAGCACTAAGCATCAAATTGCCATGTAAAATCGAATACAAGAGTTCATCAACTGGATAACAGAAAAATCCTTAGATAGAATAGACAAAATTCAACTAGGCTTTGTACCAAAACAAAATCCAATTAGGCCAAATGAACAGATCATAAATAAAATCAGCACCCAGTCCTGATAACAAAGGGACCACTATACTACCAACAATCAAATAACATTTATCCCCCAATCAAGAAACCCCAATACTGTCAGCAGCTAAATGAACAGTAAATCGTCCAAAATTAGGAACATGGTAGGTATACTTAACAGACACCTCCACCAAATCAATCAAAGCACCAACCTTTGATGTTGCAAACAGAACAAATTCAATTTCTTTCAGCCAAAACCAGAGATTTAGCACACCAAACCAACAAATTCATTGAAAAATCACATACCCGAAAGAAAAATATGAATTCAAAAGCCTACAGAAATCATACAAACAAAACCAATAGATTGAGAAGCATAATTAATTAAGAAAATTGGTTTTACCATATAAGTGGTTGAAGAAAAGCTGAGTGGCACCAGTGGAAACAACAACTTCAAGGAGAGAAGAAACACTGTCATTGGATCTTTTGGTGATGAGAGAAGTGCCAAGATTTTTCAGGGAGGAATCAAGATGAGCCAAGCTGTGTTTTAGCCACCATCTTGAAACCCTTCCAGGATAAAAAGGGCCTTCCTCCTCAGGAGCCCAGATGAAGACACAAACCACACCTCCTGCTCTCACTGCAGCTGCCAAAGCTGGGTTATCTTCAACCCTCAGATCTCTCCTGAACCAAACCACACTGCAACCACCACCTGACATCTCCAAAAATATATTTTTGACCAACAAACAAAACCCAGCAAACCAATATTTTTCTATCTCAAACACATATTATACCATATGGACATATCATCCTTCTCTTCTCTCTCTCTCTCTCTCTCTAGGAGCACACAACAGGGGGTTGCTTTTTGCTATATTTCTCTTACTTTTGAATATTATGAGGATGGGATTTACGACCCATCAACAACAAAAAGGTTGATTTCTTTTTTTAGGAGTGAAAGATGTGATTTTCTTCTACGTATATTTTATTTTTCTTTGCTTATTTCATTTTTTCCAATATTTTGGGTGAAAGTCTGCCCCATGCAGATGGGTTTTAGTCTTTTTTTAGGCCAGTTGCCAGGAGAAGGCTTTTCAGAGAGAGAGAAGTCAGCTGGGAGCCCAGAGTGAGTGAAGGGGATTGGTTAACGCCAATGGAGTGGGCGGTATACGACAAATTGATAGGCAAACTGCGGCCACATGTTTAATTTTCTAGATTTTTATATTTCTCTTATCTTATTGTGCAACAAAAACAAATCTCATCCAAGTTCCAACCTCTAGTTCCTTCTCAAATCCTGTGTCTTTGACAGGGTGGAAATTGTTGCTACTTTTCTCGGAACTATTGGTTATAACTCTGTGTTTTGGAGCCACTACTTTTGCAACTTGGCATCAAAATTCTTATTGCCACTTGCATGACTATATTTGGCATAAAAGCTTGAAGTGTTTTTAAGGGCATAGAATTAGCACTTCTAAGTTCTAAGTGCTTTTTTTGTTGAAGCACTTCTATTTATTTTTTTATGAATCACTTCTTACCATTTTTCGAGAAGTACTTGAATTTTTAAACAAAAATATAATGTGTTTATAATAAAAACAATCATAGCAAAAACAACATATCTTGTTTTCTAGAAAATGAGTCTTTGTTAAGTGAAGAGTTAGATAAAAAGTTGTGTTTGTAAATCGATCATCATGAGCTTATTACACCATATTATTCAAGCATTGATATTGTCTTCAACTTAACAAGCCAAGATGGCTCAAGCTCATTAGTCCTTATTGACTGAATAAAAGAGAAAAAGAAAGATCACTGAACTCTGACCAATGTATAATTTATCTCAAAAAACCTCGATATTAATAGCAACAAACCATCTATTGATCTATATTATATTTTCTTGAGGTACTTTCTCAATGTGAGGCAAGTCTATCCACATCTTTGGCTTGTATCAAGTTACACAACCTCAACAAGTTGTATGTATACAAAGGCGAAGCTAAGAATCAAATTATATGGGGGTGCGCTTTTTTATGTTTCCATCTAGGATAGAGTGAAATTTAGGTCTTAGAAGATGAGGTTAGAGAGCGAAAGAAAACAACTATGCTATTAATGTGGTATCTCGTGCTAATAATATAATATTTTTTGGAAATTTTTTTACATAATTTTGTATCATTAACATAAAACATTATTGTGGCAGCTATCCGTGTCCTGAAAATCTTTGTTGTGGAATAGATCCATGCAAGCCAATACATGGCTATGTTTCTCTTATTATTTTCATCAAACGTCTCTGTAGGTATAATATGAGAGTGCATGGTTTTTTTTCTTCAATTGCAAGCTATATTCTACGGTAATTTACATTAAAGAGATAGAGAGAGTTTGAACTCAAGACACAGTGGGTTGAAAGAGAAAGTCTAACTATTAAGAGAATCCACCACTTGCACATATGTGTTCTAGATACAACAATATATCTACACTAGAGGTGACAGAATAAATTGGTTGCAAATTCTCCTTACTATAACTGTCGTACAAAGTCACTTACAAATATGTGTTAAATTAATATATGTTCCGGTCATTTAAGCACCACAAAAACCTATGAGATTAATGATTGACAAATCACTAATTCAAGAAAAATCTCTTTGCTTAATATTTAATCACTATAATTGTGACTTCACTTTGAAACTCATTGGGTGCCAATTATTGTCAAAGCCTTCTTTAAACAGAAAAGGCAGTTTTATTTTGCTTGCAACTGAATCTAATTCCAATTACAATATACAAATATATTTTGCTTAGTTGGGGGATTTGTTGCTATAATTAAACATGTTATCTCATTGTCTCAACTTGGAATTGCATTGGCAGCTTGGATTTTGGAAAGGGACATGTAGCATGGGAAAGATAGGCATTGATGAATGCTGACTCCTATGCATTTGGCATTTTTCTATATTTTGGCTTCCACCTCTTGATAAAGCTTGCTTGGTGCTCAGATTCCGTTCATGGGTCACTGTTGAAAGTGAATTATGATGTGGCCTTCTCTGTATCTCTAGTCTGTTGCCTAAACAAGTTCCTTTTCTTTTTTTTTTTCAAAGGGAAACGCTAAAGCTACTTTCTCAAAATGGAATTTTCTGTAAAAATTTTGTCCACTTATGTTTTTCGTGCAATATTTTATAATATTGACATGAAAATTGTACAAAAAATATAAGGTGACGGAGCGTACATAAAAAATCTCACTTTTGAGAGGATCTCGTTAACATTTCTCTTTTCTAAACTGCCTCATTAATTTACAACATTAAATTTCTTTTTTCTTAAAAAAATATCTTGAATGGAAATTTTATTTTCTATAAATGTTCTCTTTTCTGAACCACTTTTTTTATGAGAAAAAAATAAATAGATGATAGTATAAAACAAGATAGAGGTCATTTAAGCCATAAGTCCAGTCCAGTACCAATCGCTGGATTCAGAGAACCAATCCAATCCAAGAGTTATTCCAACCTATCTCTTTGGAATAGTGCTCGCTGTAGTTATTCTCCATATAACCATAGACAAATTTTATCGAGTAATGCTACATTTACTGCATATTTGTATCATCATCTGTACTATTTCTTTGAAATAGTGCTCGTTATAGTTCTTTAAATATAGCCTCTTACAACTCATATTCATCAGACCAAAACCCACCTATATATAAAGTTATAAACATCCAATAAAAAACCCATAAATAACATAAATTGTCACATAGGAAAATAAGGGATTTGGATCCTCTCTGGATCCCCTCACTGGGGATCTCGGGGATCATCGTGCGCCCACAATTAAATGCTTTTTATATTTTTAAAAGCAAAGCAGCCTCGTTTTACGTGAAAAGCATTTAATTGTGGCCGCACGATCTTTGATGAACAGTCCTTGTGCATTGATCCCCAAGATCCCTAGAACGGTCCTTGTGCATTGATCCCCGAGATCCCCAATGAAAGGATCCGAAGAGGATCCAAATCCGAAAATTTATGCCACAACATTCTACAACTATTCTCACACTCATAGGCAACCATTACTTTGACTTGACCGATTATAGTTTTAATGACAATTTAAGAAATTGAGCCATTTATTGTTCCACACAGAGAATTTGGGGTAATTTGGCGGGGAATTTAGTTTTTGTCTCGTGCAGGATGATTTTTGTGGCTTCAGATGCCCTAAATGTGAAAACGAATTGTAAAGACCTGCGACATCATAGAGACTATCGCTTCTCCGAACTCAGTTGCCATAATAGTGTAATAAGGGAGATGGATGATGAGATTTTAGAGTACATGGAGCAAAGATAAAAGTAAGTATTGAGTAATTTGGTTGAGGTGTAGTAAAACAACAAAAACACTTTTAAAAGTGGGGTATAATGAACCAGTTACATTACGTTATAGTTATTCTCCGTCCCACTTATAAGTAGGAAGTCTTAAATTCAATTCTAATAAATGACAATTTATACCAAATTATAGTTGACTGATTATGTGTAATCCGGTGTATCAACTCCAATGTTATGTATAATATAAATGAAGTTAGTATATGTTACCCCTTGTGTGTGAAACAAAAAAAAAAAAAACCTAAATTCAATTTATTATAATCTCTATGCATAACGCAATACCGCCTAATCCGTTTGAACGTCAGCATGTCATATTCTAAACAAAGCATTATATCTATTGAAAATTTTCAACCATTTTGCAGCCATAAAATGTGATGGTGGTGACTGGTTAATATATGCGAGAGTATCAATCTCACAAACGAAGTATTTTGCATATGCTTATAAGTAATTGAGCTGCTTTTCATATTATCAATTAGTTTTATGATAAAATCTCAATTTTCTTCATAGTATCAGAGCATATTGTCTCATGTATAAAGCTGAATAGTTACACGTGCTCAACGTCAACCGATTTGTGTTGTCAGCATGTTAGGAGTGTCAATCCTATATTCAAGAAAAGAAAAAACATTGTATGTGCTTATAAGTAATTAAATTACTTTACATATTATCAATTAGTTTTATATGAAACCTCAACTTTATTTAATATGCAATATAACATTGAGATGAATGAGGATCATCTTCGGATCCTCATTGTGAGGATTATGGGGATTTTCCAATTACGTTCGTTCATTGTACATCGTGCGGTTAGAAATCATTGTAACTTTTTTTATTTTAAAATTGAATAAAAATAGTACCTGACAAAAGATGACTGCACGATATACGATGAACGCATGTGATTGGAGAATTTTCGGAATCCTCACAAAGAGGATCAGATAAAAGCAGTTCCACCGTGGCAAAGGCCCCCCCAGGCTATTCACTATTTAATCCATCCAGTGAACATTAACTACCCTTAATGAACAGTAATTATCTTTTGCATCTCCACCCCCACACTGAATAGCCCTAACAATAGGCAATAAAATATTAGTATTTTTTATTTATTTACAAAATAATACAAAATAATTTAATTTGTAATTTTGGATAAGATTTTTAATCGTTGTCGCTGCGCCACGTGTCATTATCCGAAAAGACAATTATTGGTGATGGATTTCAATAAGATTTTTATCCAATGTCATCGTGCCACATGTCGTTACCTTTTCAGAATTCGTTGATGATAGATTTTCGATAAAATTTTTAACCAATCACATTGCCTGTCACATTCTATTTACAATCTTTAAGGATATATTTCAATCAGATTTTTAATGAATGACGGCATGCCACGTGGCATTATCTACAACCTAATCCTTTCTAAATCCTCCATATAATCCACCATTCATCCTCAGAAATCTCACACCAATTTTCTGAAGATCTCTATCATTATTCATAGTTTATGTACCCTTCTTCACCAAAATCAAAATCTGTATCATTATTCATAATTTCTGCTTCCTTCTTACAATGTCTTCTTTTTAAGGATGATGTGGGAAATCGATCAATAAGAGGAAGAATTGTTCAACCAATCAGAAGGAATGTTCAATCTCCAGGTGGCCCAAAACGAGAGGTAAGAGGATAAGGAGTGTAAAATGAGAGATAACGAAGTAAGAATGGGCAGAGCCTCACATTCCCGTCGAATCATCCAAGTTGTGGGTCAGATCTGTAGGCCCAGCCGTTCCGGAAACCTTGATAGAAGTAGGCA